TAAGGCCTCAGGAAAACTTCAAGACTCTTGCCTTTCTGGTCGCAAAGTTTTGAATGAGGAAGAAGTGTGTGCTGGATTGCATCTGTTTGGTCACGCCAGGAAAAAGATAGAGCGGCAACAAGATGTGAAAATGTGTCTGCAAGTGATCTGCAAGTTTTCTGCAAATGTGCATTTCCTGAGCCCATTGGCTCGGAGTTGGCCTCTTCAACATCTTGCAGCAATGGAAGCAATCGTTCCAGCACGATTACCTGAGGGTTCTGCTTCGGATGGAAATGAAGAAAGGGAACTAAGCTGGAGCAAGTGCATGGAACTTTGTATATATGTATATTGTGGGAAGCCTAGTCCCTGTAACAGTGACCACGAAAAAAGCACCAGAAAAAGCACGAGAAAAAGTGAAAAAATGGAGGTTCGCTTTCCAAAAGTGCCGGCTTCAAAAAAACCTTGCCTTGTGCAGCTGTCCTTTTTAGCGCGCTGCATGAAGTGACATAGTCATTTTGGAAACATGATGTGGCATTTTGCATTGACTGGTTCCACCATGACCTGTTGAAGATCATGCAAGGACCCCTTAATTGAATTCAGCAAGATCTCTGTAGATATCTCTACAAAGATCTTTGTACAAAGATCCCTATAGCCTATAGCCCTAGAACATCTTTGCGCAAGGATCTCTTGATAAGGAGCCCTACAGGATCTTCCCACAAGGATCTTTTGGCAAGATGCTCGACGACCAGATCTTCCTCACAAGGATCTCCATCAGCTCTTGCCCCAAGGACCTGCGCACGATCATGCAATGACCTCTTGAAAGGATTTCAGCAGCGTCTCTGTAAGGTATCTAATGAGATCTTCTGTTTGAGACTTTCAGTATACATTCCGTGTCAAACTTGCTCTCCCACTGTCCTCGAAGAAGTCGAAGGCGAAGGGATCCGCCATGGCCAGCACACCGCCGGCCCAGGGTGGCACGAAGACTAAACGCAATTAAAACTCGAGTTTTTTCTTTTTTTTCCCCATTGTTTTTTCAGTAACTGCCACCACGAAAAAAGCACAAAAAAAGCACGAGAAAAAACACGAGAAAAAGCACGAGAAAAGCACAAAAAAAAACACAAAAAAAAAGCACGAGAAAAAGCACGAGAAAAGCACAAAAAAGCACGAGAAAAAGCACGAGAAAAAGCACGAGAAACGCACAAAAAAGCACGAGAAAAAGCACGAGAAAAAGCACGAGAAAAAGCACGAGAAAAGCACAAAAAAAGCACGAGAAAAAGCACGAGAAAAGCACGAAAAAAGCACGAGAAAAAGCACGAGAAAAAGCACGAGAAAAGGACAAAAAAAGCACGAGAAAAAGCACGAGAAAAGCACAAAAAAGCACGGAAAAAGCACGAGAAAAAGCACGAGAAAAAGCACGAGAAAAGCACAAAAAAAGCACGAGAAAAAGCACGAGAAAAGCTGAAATGGCATCCGCCAAAAATCATCTTTTGCTTGTGCTTTTTCTAGTGCTTTTTTTGTGCTCATTGTTATATTAAATTAATAAGGGACAAAAAAAAAAAAAGCACAAAAAAAGCACGAGCAAATCTTGAAAAATCGCCAGTGACATTTCCAAAACGGTCAAGGAGAAATCCAGAAGGAGCGGAAAGAAAAGCGCTCGGCGAACACCAGGATAGCACGAATAAGATTGGTGTTGACACTGTGAACAAGATGCAAATGCAGGAGAAAAGCACAAAAAAAGCACGAAAAAAAGCACGAGAAAAAGCACGAGAAAAAGCACGAGAAAAAGCACGA